TGTTTCTGTGTTAACCTTATTTCATGCTGTATTCTTTTATTTTTTTATTTTTTTTGTCTCTCAGTTGTTTGTGTGGATGTTTTTCTTAGTAGATTTTATTTGTGGGAGTGTATTTGCCTCCAGTAGAATGTCATATTTTTGCTGGATGGTTTTGAATTGCGTTGCCAAGGACATCTTTGTCAGTGCTGTCTGACCTCTGCCTGGCTAATTTAACTAAGTGTATTTTCGCATCGATAGCCGTTTATTAACTTTTTGAGATGCCATTGCCAGTACCAGCTGCCCCTTTTACAGTCCATTTTAATATTTGATGTTTTTGAACGCCTTGATTTTAAATTTAAATGCATCAACACAAATGGCAGGTGCAATATTTCTGCAGCCAGCATACCGTTTGGCGCACTTCACTGGTTCAAATTTTTTTTTTCTGAGATCATCCGGTTGGTCCTTTTGCAAATGTTCTGGGTTCAGTCCAATTTAACTTTGCACTATATTGATTGCCACAATTAATTTTCACGACTAACAGTGTTATAATGGAATGCGGACAGGAATGGTAATATAAAAATTATAAATGAATAACTTCTATTCATCAAGGACACAAAGTGATTAGAAGTGACCGTAAAGAAATGTTTGATGTTACAAAAGATATCTATTTCAAATAAATGCTGTTCCTTTGAACTTTTTAGAATCCTGAAAAAAAGTTTCCACAAAAATAAGAAGCAACACAAATTGTTTTATTGTAGGTAATAAATAATTACATGAATAATAGAATTAAAATGTTAACTTATCTTATTGTAATAATATTTCACAATACTAGTTTTTTTTTTTTACTGCGGTTTTGATAAAAAAAAGAAGTCAGGGCTCTGGCTGGGCCATTCAAGAACAGTCACAGAGTTGTTGTGAAGCCACTCCTTCGTTATTATATAAAAATGTCAACAATTCTGTGTTTTTCTGTCAATATGGGGTGCTGTGTGTACGTTAATGAGGAAAAAAATTAACTTAAATGATTTTAGCAAATGGCTGCAATATAACAGAGTGAAAAATTTAAGGGGGTCTGAATACTTTCCATACCCACTGTATGTAGGTAGGTAGGTATGTATTACGTGCATACATACATACACTGTATAGTCTACTTCAGAAATGCCAAATGTTGTCCTGTGAATTGGGGGGGGGGTCTTCTAATTTATCTTTTTGTTTTAACGTTTATTTATTTTTGCATTGAAATGTAGACTCTTAAGTGAATTGCATTAAATTGCCCATTTACCCATTTTTGTCAATGTGATGCTTTCACTTGGTATGTTTTAATTCATTTAATGCAATTAATTTGCTATTCATTTGAGTTGAGTTTGATGAACTAATTTTATTACAGTTTACATGAATATATTCAAGCAGGTAAAAGTAAGCTGGGGTTTTTTTCATATACAGGGTGTCCGTGGGGTCTTAAAGTATTAAAAGTTGATCAATCAATTTAGAGAAAATTAAGGCCCTTAAAAAGTCTTAAATGCCATTTTCCAAGGTATTCAATTTTGTATCATCTTTTCATTGTATATTTGTCGAATAGTGGGGTTCTGTGTATTTTATTTATGGAATCCCGCAAGATTTGACGTCATCTGTTACGGCTCTCACTGACTGACTGCTACGCTGCGTGATAGCGCCGGGGCTTGTTGATCCTGCTCTCACTGAATTTCTGACCATTACCACACGCTCCCATCTGCTCCCGTGATATTTGTGTCCGTTCCCACAAACATTTTAATATTGTATATAATTTTCGTGCATCAGGGCGCCTCTATCAATATGTGGGGTATTTAAATCCCCTTTGAATGAGCGCTCGCTGTCGTAGTTCACTTTCGATTTCACGATCGCACGCGCACTGTGTAAAGGGAGCACATCCTACGATAAAAGATAGTCAATGAGCTCGGGATCTGTTGATACTGGCATGGGCTTGGGATGCACAATTAAAATGATGTAATAGTTGTGATCATTATTTTACCTTCCATGATCATTCAGACATGATCAGGTGCAGTACTTACACTCTGTCATGTCTGCATCAAATCAAGCACTCTGTAATCACAGGTAAACTGTCTGATCAGTCAGATGTTTGTCATGAGAAGTGTTCCACAAAACAGCTATGGTTTGAGTTGATGTGACAAATACATCTTTTGAATATACTATGTGAACTCATTGCCCCGTTAACTCGGAGAGTTTTATTTTCTCTCCTCAATAAGTTTTGTCAGTTGTTTTGTTTATTGGTCTAATTCTTGTTTCTTGGGTTGCATTGGTTAGTCACTCAATTAATTGTCTTGTGCTTCGTTCTCCCCTTCTGAATTATGTTGTATTGATAAGGAGTTATCACAAAGTAAGTCTGTTTAGTTGTGCTATCTTACAATCAATATATAGTAAATGTAAGTTAGTGTCGCCGATGTAACCGGTTAAAACTTGAAGTGGCGATGAGGTCTTAAAATGTATGGAAAGAGTCTTAAAAGGTATTAAATTTAACTCCATGATTCCTGTATATACCGTGATAGAAAATGTCGATTCTTCATGACTATTTGAGAATTAATGTGATAAAATAAATTTTTTTTTTCTGCAAGCGTTGGTCCCCCCTTAATCATTTTTTAATATAAACGTTTGCTAATATTATTTATACGTTTGCATCCATGTGATGTAGCTCTTGTTTTTTGAAGCCCTTAGAACTGCTGTGCGAGAAGGCGATTGGCACTGGGATTCGGCCAATGGGAGCTGGAGAAGCGCTCCGTAGAGTTCTTGAGTGTCTCGCATCTGGAATCCTCATGACTGGTAAGTCAGCTCCACATTTCATATCTAAAATAGATTACAAAATGACTGTCTGTCACATTATAGCACTCTTGCAATAAAGTGCTCTTTAAAAATGTAAGTAGTTACTATTGTATTGTATTGTACATACTGTTGTATACTGTTGAATCGACCGTTGTGATGTATAGAATACTACAAAGATGCTTTTGTTATTTCTTAATTTGAATGTGAATCTATCTGCTTTAGAAGGTTCAGGCATTTGTGACCCTTGCGAAAAGGAGCCAACAGATGCCATTGGTCACATGGATCGCCAGCAGCGGGAGGACATCACCCAGAGTGCTCAGGTTTGTCCACAATTTGCTGTTTTTATTACAGATTTGCATTTGATTGCGTGCAGATCTCATTTGAGCATTATGAGTGACATTGCCATCTTTTTGATTAACAGCATGCCTTAAGGCTTTCAGCTTTTGGACAGCTGCACAAAGTGCTCGGTATGGACCCACTTCCTTCAAAAATGCCTAGAAAACCAAGGAGTGAGACACCTATTGACTATACAGGTAAAATTAAGTGGAAGTGGACATTTTTCTTTACTTGATGGATGATTTGTTGTGTAACAAATCCATCTATTTTAAGAGAGAAACTTGACTTTTGTCGTCTTTCATCTCCATAGTTCAAATCCCACCCAGCACAACCTACATGCCGCCAATGAAACGCCCCATAGAGGAGGAGGAGGCTACTGATGACAAGAATCCAAACAAGAAGAAGAAGAAATTGCAAAAGAAATGTAAATGCTGTTCATATGTTCACAATCTGCTTATAGTGGAATTACGCATAACATTGCACACAAAACATAACTTGTCTTCTGGCCTTCAGCTCCAGAGGAGAAGGCAGAGCCGCCACAGGCCATGAATGCCCTGATGCGTCTGAACCAGCTGAAGCCGGGTCTACAGTACAAACTCATCTCTCAGACTGGGCCTGTTCATGTGCCGGTGTTTACTATGGCTGTAGAGGTGGACGGAAAGAACTTTGAAGCATCTGGTCCCTCCAAACGCACTGCGAAACTACACGTAGCTGTCAAAGTAAGACACCTTGATGTAGAAGATCAATTATTTGGCTTAATGAACCAGTCTGAAACTAGAAACTAAATGTTTTAATTCCTTCTCCAGGTGTTGCAAGATATGGGTCTGCCAACGGGATTGGAGCAAAAGATAGCTGAACTGGTGAAACAGGAGGAGCCGGTGACCACTCAGGAGACTTTGCCCGCTGTGACCCAAATGGAGCCAGAAACGGCACCAACCGCAGACAGCCCCACTGACGAGGTACCAAAGATTTTTATTTTTTTTTAACAACATGTATCCATATAGTGGCTTATAATTAAAGAGAATCTTGTGGGCAGTTTTATAATGCAAATAAAAATGTAAAGGGGTTAAATAAATTAATAAAAATGAATGCACTTGTTCTGTGTTAAATTGATCAAAAGTGATGGTAAAAACTTGTATAATGTTACAAAACATTTCTATTTTAATGAAATGCTGTATTTACTATTCATCAAAGAATTCTGAGGAAGTAAAAAGTTTCCACAAAAATAAGCATAAACTGTAATAAACTGTTTTAACAATGATAATAATCAGAAATGTTTCTTGTGCATCAAATCAGTATATTAGAATGATTTCTGAAGGCTCAAGTGACACTGAAGACTGGAGTAATGATGCTGAAAATCCAGCTTTGCCATTACAAAAATAAATAACATTTTAAGACGTATAACAATAGAAAACGGTTATTTTAAGTTATTTTTTTTATCAAATAAATGCAGCCTTTTTGAGCATAAGAGAATTATTTCAGAAACATCACTGAATTTACTTTACTTTAACCGTAATGTTTTACATGCAAAAAAGTGCAAATTAAATTCATTATGGTTTAATTTTGACTGATTAGTTGCTCCAAACCTCTGAGGCATGTTGTTCAGTCTTATAAGACCTTGTTCCTCCACTTTCGCTTTCTCAGAGTGCTAAACAGCAGGGGCCCATCCTAACCAAGCATGGAAAAAACCCTGTCATGGAGCTCAACGAAAAACGCAGAGGACTGAAGTACGAGCTCATCTCTGAGACCGGTGGAAGCCATGACAAGCGCTTCGTCATGGAGGTGAGGACATGAACTCGGAGACGCATTCTAGTTCTTCATATTGTGTTTTTGTAATATTGAATTCTCATTTCTCTTATTTTTCCTTCCTGACTTCAGGTGGAGATTGACGGACAAAAATTTCAGGGTGCCGGATCCAATAAAAAGGTGGCAAAGGCCTACGCAGCACTTGCAGCCCTGGAGAAGCTCTTCCCAGAAGGCTCCAACTCCGAGGCAAACAAGAAGAAGAAAATGCCTCCAATGGTATGCCTGTTTCTTCCTTTTTTCAGTGTCATTATTATCTCCACTTATATATTCCGTGTATAATTGTCTGATTTGCTAATTTTAGCACCCCGCTGGATTTGGGATGGTGAGTGGGCCGCCTGCTGACATGGCAATCAATCCCAGGGGCAGAGGAAGAGGACGTGGCAGGGGCCGAGGTCGTGGATTTAATGGTGGAGGATTCAATCAAGGTACAGTTCCATTGCTGTCTGTCATCGCTTTGCATTAAGGATTTAGACAAACTTTAACACTCAGAGATCCAGCTCTGAATCAAACTATTTAATACCTAACTTTCACTGAATATGGATAAAAACTACACGTAACACTGTGCTGACATACTGAAGTTTCTAACATCAGTTTTGGTGGGAAAAATTGTTTGACATTAACCGCCATAATTCTTATAACACTTGGAACAAATGTATCTATTTGCGAAGCAAGTATTTTGACATTTGATGTTAATAAAAATTGTGTGTAGTAATAGGAAAAGGCTTGAAATGCACTGAAATTTTGAACGTACATCGAGACAATTTTTCTAAGCATAACATAAATGCAAACGGAGTATTAGGGGTCAAGCTTTTTTCAATTATTCTCGCACAATTAAGCCTATTCAATGAATGGTACCAAAAATATTATATTTTTCCTGACGTATTGGTCTCGTCTTGATGTTATACAAACTTGAACTTTGTAGAGCAGCGAAATGCGAAACATCTTAACAAGAGCTTGCATTTCCGCTCTCTCGCATTTGCATGCGTTTAAATGGAATAAAGTGTAGTGTGAGACATTTACTATTTCAAAGTGAGAAAATGTGGATTAGTAAGTGGTTTTATTAAAGTATATTTTGTATCAAGTTTGTGTACATAAAAATTCTGTTAGGTTCACTACTTAAAAGCCAGTAATATGTTGATTCAGATTTATAATGTGAATTCAATTCGAATTAAATGTCGATCTGTTAACATTTACTGCATCATTCCTCTTCAGATTTCTTTAATAATGGAGGGTCTAATGGTGGACCAGTGGCCTCGGGTCCTGGATCATCAGGTCCAGGCACAAACCTGTCTTCTGGGGGAGCAGCAGGGGCGACTGGTTTCGGCTCGTATTATCAGAGTGACGGTGGCTACTCGTCCCCTACCGGAACCCCCAAACCGGCCGGTAAGAAGCCACCCATGCACCAAAACACCAAGCCTCAAGGATCCGGAGTTGGCCAAGGGGGTTCCTTTGGTCAGTACAGCCAGGGCTTTGGACAGAAAAAGAACTTCGGTCAGGCTCAAGGTGGTGGTGGTGGAGTAGTAGGAGGAGGAGGAGGAGGTGGTGGTGGAAACTTCAACTACAGCACTGCTTATCCCTCACAGGTGACCGGAGGACAGGACTACAGCTATGAAGGTGACGAAAACACTCTGAGTTACAAGAATAGTTCACCCGAAAATTGACACTTGCTGAAAATGTACTCACCCTCAGGCCATCCAAGATGTAGCTGAGTTGCTGCTTCATCTAAACAGATTTAGAGAAATTTATCATTGCATCACTTGCTCACCAATGGATGCTCTGCAGTGAATGGGTGCCATTAGAATGAGTCCAAACAGCTGATAAAAACATCACAATTTCCTGTTTCTTTTGAAGTTCAAATCTGTGAACTCCCCCAAACTACTGCCCTCACAAGGGAGAAGTGAAATAAACCCAAAGCGACGCATGTGAGGACCTGATCATTTGGTAATATGCAGTGACTGGACGCGCAGTCCTCGAGTGATTTTAACCATTCAGACATGTACAAATATACGATGCATCAGTCTCAAGCTGTAAATCTTTAGTTTTATTATTTTTCTTTTCTTCTGTTTGACCAGCAACAATTCATGATTTTTTTTTTCCTGTAATCGTAGGCTTTTCTTTTAAATTATGAATGCACATGTGACATTGTTTTAAATGGTTATGTGATTGTGAAAGTTGTGAAAAAAAAAATAGCAGTCTCTAAACTTTGTGCAAAATAGTGTATTTTCCTGTTTCTTTTGAAGTTCAAATCTGTGAACTCCCCCAAACTACTGCCCTCACAAGGGAGAAGTGAAATAAACCCAAAGCGACGCATGTGAGGACCTGATCATTTGGTAATATGCAGTGACTGGACGCGCAGTCCTCGAGTGATTTTAACCATTCAGACATGTACAAATATACGATGCATCAGTCTCAAGCTGTAAATCTTTAGTTTTATTATTTTTCTTTTTTCTTTGCTTCTGTTTGACCAGCAACATTTCATGATTTTTTTTTCCTGTAATCGTAGGCTTTTCTTTTAAATTATGAATGCACATGTGACATTGTTTTAAATGGTTATGTGATTGTGAAAGTTGTGATGTGTCAGGTCGATGTATAATTGGCTGTTTTGGGTGGGGGACCTTTATTTTTCCGAGCAACGTTTCAAGAATGTGTGGTGTTTGTAATAAAGGATTTTATTTTGGAGGATATCTGATTTCTGCTGTATTTTTGAATGCACATCTCCAGGTGTTTTGGTTACACTTGTTTTTATATAACGTATACAATTTAGTCAAAGTCACATTAAAAATGTAATCAAGCATTTTAAACTTGAAAATGTAACTTGTTTTAGAATCTAAAATGTGCTTTTTACTAAATGTGAATTGAATTGAAAAAGCAGATAAGAATAGTGTAAAGAAAACATATTTTGTTTGAAGGAGTAATAATAAACAGACACGATATTAATATACAGAACATTAGAAAATAAAAAGAACTGTAAACATGATTTGAAAACTGCAATAATTATTTGTACAAAAATTTAGTAAATACATTGCCACTCTAAATATACAGAATATTTTTCTAATAATTAAAGGTGTGTAGACGGCATGATTGAAAACGCCGGTAATGGTGAAAACCACAATAATGTAAATATAAATCTTTTATGTTCAATGGTGTAGTAATAAATACAGAGCCGCTCTAAAAGTACATAATATTTTAATAAAGGCTTATGGACCGCATGATATTAATAATTACAATGTAAAAAAATATTTATGTTTCAAAGTAATAATAAATACAGCGCCGCTCTAAAAGTACATAATATTTTAATAAAGGCTTATGGACCGCATGATATTAATAATTACAATGTAAAAAAATATTTATGTTTCAAAGTAATAATAAATACAGCGCCGCTCTAAAAGTACATATTTTAATAAAGGCTTATGGACCGCATGATATTAATAATTACAATGTAAAAAAATATTTATGTTTCAAAGTAATAATAAATACAGCGCCGCTCTAAAAGTACATAATATTTTAATAAAGGCTTATGGACCGCATGATATTAATAATTACAATGTAAAAAAATATTTATGTTTCAAAGTAATAATAAATACAGCGCCGCTCTTCGTGGTTTACGGTAAAGTATTGTCGTGCGTTTTTGTTCCTGAGCTTACGGCGGATGTGACGTCATGTCCGTTTCCCCCGAGCGCAAGGCGAGTCCAGCATGGCTGACACCGGGCTTTTGGAATCACTCTTACGGCTGCTGGAGAAGGTGGATGGCGGCACTGACAGCCAGGATGTGGCCGCCGATCTCGGGGTGGATCATCAGGTGATCGTCGGCGCGGTGAAGAGCCTGCAGGCGCTGGGAGAGGTGAGCAGATCCCGCAGCACCGGCACGCTCTGACTGATGCAACAGCGGCGCAAACCAGAGCCATTCAATCCGGATGATCTGTGTGTACATCACTCCAATCATGCGGAGCAGCGCATTACAACGAAGGCATCTTACAGACTTCCATACCCGCTAACATAAATGAAAAATACTCCATCTATGTTATGTCGTATCTTTCTTTTAATCACCCCTAAGCAAGCTGCAACTGTTTTAACCCCTTAACTGTCACCCCCATTTTTTAAAATAGGCATGAAAGTGCGCTATCCAAACTTAAATTGTTGTAATTTATGAACACTTTGGAATACAGACCTATGGTTGGCAGATTATTGCAAAAGTGGAATTTTTCCCCCCAAAAAATCAAGTATCAAAAAGTTATAGAAGTTTAAATTGACTGTAGTGAAAATGCACTATACTAATTTTATTTTATATATAATAAATATTTTACATAACAGGTTTTACTTTAAAATTGGTATAAAATTAAAGCCTTATGTCTAAATATGTTTTATTTTATTAGTTTTTTTTATGATGTCTATATAGGTTTTTTAAATACGTTTTAGTTTGATTTAATTTGAGTTATTTCGGTACTTCAACACAAAATGGATATGAAATAATATATATATATATTGAATGTATTTATATATATGTACATGTATATGTGTGTGGCTGTACATACACATATGTAGTTGTTTTTTGGTGTTTGGCTTAGTGTTATGTTAGAATCATTATTATACTCATACCTTTTGTTCTTTTAATAATTTGAATTGTTTTTAGCTTTTTTTTTTTTTTTTTCATTTAAATGTTTAGTTTTGAAATGTTGTATGCATTGTCATTTTGATTTAATTTCTTTTATTTTCTTACATGTGTGTGTGTGTGTGTGTGTGTGTGTGTGTATATATATATATATATATATATATATATATATATATAGTATT